GTCTATGTACTGGTTGAATGCTGTTACAGCACCATGAACAGCTTGGGCGTAATCAGGATGGTCATGACTCTCGCAAATTACAGATTTAATAACTTCATGAGTGACTTGGTGCACACCGATAAAAACGCCATTTTCTCTTTTTTCGAGCAACAGCAGTGAGTAGCCCTGGATCTGAACAGCAAGTTCCTCTCTCTCCACTTGCTTATCAATATTCAATAAATAATTTATGAGGATATCGAGAGGCAATGCTTGGTGAGCACAGAGGGATAGGAAAGTAAACGCATTCTTCATAATACCGCCACTGTCAATCGCTTTCTCGACGGCCAGCTTTGTTGCCGCAGTCATGGACGTGCTGTAGCTTGGATTTGTCTTTGTCAGTTCCTTTTCAGTAAGGGCTCGCATTCCTCTTTTTAGCTTGTCTAGATACTCCTTCCAGCCAAAGTCAGAAGCCACACTCTCACGGATCTTCTTCACATAAGTGCCTGCGCTGGCAAGAGCAAGGGGTTGGTAATCTAACGCCTTCGCAACTTCATCTTCCATTTCTGAGTCCTCCAAGCTGGAGATATTTGCCAGAAAACACTTTGCATCGAGTGGCTCCATTCCTTTCATTATGGAGACATGCGAAATAAATGAGCAAGTAGAAGGGATAGACGAGGTATCCTGTGTTGTGATGAGTAACTGCCCTTTATTCCACTGTTCATTCCCTGATTGAGGTAGAAAGGTGTGTATGGCAGAAACACTTGTCACATTGTCAACCACCATGAGCCAGGATGCATAAAGGTGCAATTTTGTTGCAATCAAATCTTTGAGATTCTTGATCGTTTTGTCGATCTTCGTATCTTGGGAACTGTGAGTGTCAGTAATGTCGTACTCTGGACACTTGACCTGACGCGCCAATAAAACGTACGATTCCAATAGCGTTTGTGAATTTTCGGCATTCAAAGTCATCACAAACGAGGGGGCGCTTTCTTTGTCGTAAAACTTCTTAGCGACCAGACCAGCCAGCTGAGATTTGCCACTTCCAGGATTACCAGTAATGTACAGGAAGCTTAAACTGTTTTCGTTCGCTTCTCTCAGTTCATCCA